GGATATTCATTCAACCGGATCAACGCTGCGAATTCCATCCAATCCGCTTTCCAGTTGTTCGACAATGTGCGTTCGCTGATCTCTAGCGGGGTCGGCAATGAGATCATTGATTTCTCCTCAATGGCGAGCGAGTTTTAGCACGTTTATACCTATGTCACCATGTTGAGTGCCTGGTTCACCCAGCCGTGTCAACAGAAAGAACTCGCACAGACTCTGCATACAAACGCCCTATTCTAAAGTCTGAGGTAAAGTATAATTAGCTGGGTGTTTAAAAACTCACTCGTCTGCTCGATCGACCGCACTGGGGCAGGCGATTCCCTTCGCCCCAGCTTTTAGTCCCCATCATACCGGGCACCGAAGTGCGGTGGATCCGGTTGACACGACTCACATCGCCAAAATAACTCCATATAGCAAGCGTAAGAAAATGAGTTTGAATACAAAGAAATTGGAATCAGGACAGAAAAGCGTAAAACTAATCGAGATGGAATGTAAATTAATAGCTAGATGCAAGATTACCACTGACTGCGATTTGTCTGATTGGGTCTCCAATCACTGGTGTGGACCATCTCGAGGCCCTCATTCACGAAGAACAGCCAGACCAGTTCCTGCATGTCTGCCACGTCATCGACTGGCCACCTCCTGCCTTCGTCTAACTTCGTGCAGCCACTGCGTATAACGCACGCCGAAGAAGCCAGTCAACGGGCCTACAGAGGAGAGGATTTAGCCAATGTAACCGTCTATTCAGCAAACACACGAGTGAGGCACCAGAAGACTCCATGCTATAAACCAACTGGCGGACCTAAGCACTGCTCACTAGGTGTTCTCCTCAGAGGTGAGCAATACTCTGCAGACACTGGTGGCAGAACACTACCAAGCGTTTAATCTCTTCGCCGCGAACTGGCCAGGTCTCTGATCCATACAATAAGATCGCCTTTACCGCAGCGTTATACACCCTACATTTCATTGACAGGCTGATATCCTGCCGTCTCCATAAAGGACTGAGCCTCTTGAAAGCCACACTGGCCTTGGTGTTACGCGAAGTACCTTCCTCAGTGAGGTAACCAGCAGCGATGACACAGCTAATAAACTAAGTGAACCGATCCATCACTTCCAGTAGTCGTTCGCTGAGAGCTGGAACCGATGGAGTATCAGTCTATTCCTGCAACAAAACCTTGCACTTTGAAGGTGCAAAGAACATGCTGAATCGTGCAGCACTACACGTCAGTCTAAGCAGTTTGCATAACCACTGCGTCGGACCTAAGAAGAACTGCATCGTCCGCATGCTCCAGATTTATCAGACATCCACTTGGCAGAACTTCCACTCCGGTAGAGTCTGGAAGAACCGAGTCATACATGATGATTTCGATTACAAAGTTGAGGAGGAAAGGAGATACAAGACAACCCTGGCGAACCCCGCTTGTCCTGGGGAATCCAGGAGACAGTTTTCCGTAGACCCTTACACAGCCTCGGGAGTCACGGCTTCAGGATGGAAAAAAATGAGCTGGAACGCCTTTCACAGATAGGCAGTGCCACAAGCTGGTGCAATCATCAGAGACGAAGGCGGGTTTCTAGTCAAGGAAATCTACGACATTTGATTGGCTAGATGTGTATCTCTTGCGACAGTTCAACAGCATTTCAGTATTCTTTTTCATCATACTCGTGAGAACATTATGTTGCCGACACACATCCAAGACGCTCATAGTAAGACACACAGCATACTCGGCGTTTGGCAAAATTGCCAATCTCAGAGAACAGTTCGTCTAGCAAATGAACAGCCTGAGCTACCTGCACTTACTTCTATGTTCCTTGTTCCTAGCCAGATTGCAAGAGAAGCTACGAAACAGCACGATGGTCTTTGGCTAGTAGACACGTTATCGTGGAACCGACTTTGATGGAAATGATTTACTGTCCACATGGTCGTTCCCTCAGCTCTCGTTTGAAGGGGGCCGGAAGCTTACCCAAGTCTGGGCTATAGAACACCGTGTTGTAACCACTTTATCGTGCATTAAAAAAGGAAAAAGCATCAACAGTACGCCGGTATGCTGTACCGACGCTTCGGTGCCGCGCGACCACCACCAGGACTAAGGATACTGCGAGGGTCGCCCTGCCCCTATACAGTCTAGAACCCGCGCCCTCAGATTACAAAGTAAGCTTGTGATCCTTAAGGGTATGGGCCGGCACTACTCACAAACTATTCCACAGATTTTCCTCAGAATAATTCATCGCAGATATCCAACTATAACACTTAGTCTCGGCTGTGGTGCACTTTTGACAGATTTATTATCTCTAAAAAGTGGTCGCAGTTTTAAACGAAAGGCACTGGACTGCATTTAGCATGAGGCTAGAAAAAGCAATATCTTAACAAAGCTGACAAGCAGGGGCATCAACCTAGAGTGTGGATGCTTGGTCGACAGAAATTGGGTGCCAGTAAGGAGGCCGTTGCTTTGCAGAGTTTACCCGATCCCAATCACTTCACAATATCTCAACTGCATGCAACTTCCAGCAGTTGCGTTATGGTGGATACGGTTTATGGTAATAAATGGGATATGTTACGGCAAGTCAAGTGATTTATTTAGAAGCGAATGGAGGAATGCATACTCCGTCGTTTGGCCGATCCGAAACGTGACGCTCTTTAACCAGAACGTCTGTTACGCAGTCACAGAGTGAACCCAGCTGGAACATATTTGTTGGGAAAACGCTAGTTTTCCCAAGAATTACACTGAAACCAACAAAAATGTAGATTTATTATCAGCAGTAGGTTTGCTTTTTAAACGTCGCGTGCACATCCGTTCCCCCCTCCCCCCCACAGACCAGCATAGTGATTGGCCAATCTTTCAAAGTCGTTAGTGTTTCATTGACGAATGCCTGAATGATTATCATCAGAATAGATCACATTCGGATGTCTTTGCTTCTGCCTTGTTGGGGTTTGGGTTATTGATTGGAAGTCGAATCTGTGTTCCGTCCGTGAGCTGAGTCGTGTGTCTTTTGGTGGTTTACCATTGCTTGCGTGTGTTCGTATTGAATTGCGATAGTGGTCATTGGATCGTAACAATATTGGCTGACTCTCTGGCCAGAAGTCCTTACTCCGCATGCTGCCTCGGTGCGTGACCTCCCATGTTACTCGCTCCCCCCCCCCCCGTACAGTCAATTTCAAAGCCGATCTCAGTCACCCACGACTAAGGGAAAAACTGCGACTCGCAAACCCGCTGACATGTCGTAGATAATACCCGTGGGAATGTTTGGAAACGAGTTTCCAAAGAGATCTCTTTTGGGCAAATCACATCATGCAAATACGTTTACAAATTTGACGGATGAGCTAATGAAAGCTGAAGTGAAAGTGATTGAGCGTCTGAACTGGCTTTCATTATCCGAATGGAAATCAAATCGATCGGATCAGGTGGTAGGAGCCTGACACAGTTTGCTGACATCATAAGAAATAGGTCACGCGAGAGTTGAAAACACACTCGATCATCATCAGTGCGGATGGATTCTCGTTACGGACAGGTCGGATGTCTATCGATACGGATAGTTGAACCCTGTCCCGATTCTCTGCAGAGTTCCATGCTTTAGTGTCTGGTTCAAAGTGGACACGAAATTCCGATCAACCATGCTTTCAACGTTTTCTACACCGTACCAAAGCGATATCCAAAAAGGCTTAGTAGAAGCCTTTTAAAGATAACGGAAGCGATAGCGAATAAGTTAACGTAACCAGAGCTTTTCAAACAGACGATGCTGTTACGCTCTCTATCTTCGCCCTAACCGTACCGAGAATCCGTACGCAAGGGACCCTGATGATGCCCGAGTGTCGTTTCACCTCTCGAATGACCCATTTTTCACGAAGATGTCAACGAGCTCTGTCAGGCTCCCACCACCTGATCTGATCGGCTAATGTGAGCCAATTCAGACTCTCATTCGTGTTCACTTGTTTTCATTAGCTTGCGCTTAGCTCAGTCAGCTTTGTTAACGTGCCTGCTTGATGTGATTTGCGTTGAACTTGTGTTCACGTGAATATCCTATTACAATGAGTGTTGTATGCGGAGGTTGATGTTGCTTTCATGATGCTTCTTCACCGCAGCTGGGGCTAAACCAATTTACACTTAAACTAAATCTTTTTAAGCTGGACAAATTTCATTCCATCATATTTGGTTTGTGCAGCCTACCAGAATAATCTTCTATTAACTTGCACACGTTGCTTACGCTAATTGCGCTTATCGTTAACTTGATTACGTTCGTGGCATTTTTTGAATAGCTTCTGAACATTTTGTACTTATCGCGGATTGGTTGCTAACCAACCTACTTCAATATACTAATTTAGCGAAGAGTTATGTCGGCATAACCGTAGGTTTTAGTAGATATATTTTATTTGATAACGTTATTTCAGGAGATTGTCTGTTGTTTGACATCCCCGGTGTGGCTGCGCTTAACGTGCAAGTTGACAAGGTGCCTACCTGTCTAGTACTCACTACCTCGTCCATACTGGTTCCAGGAGACAGTTGGTCGGGGTACACGGTCCTTGTGGTCGTACAAGGCTCGAACAGTGGTTCCATGCACTCAATGTGGAGCAGACTATGGTCCAGCCACCGCCTTGTGTGCGATTGATTTCCAAATACAGCGTGCTTGTGAAGGAGTGTGGGTCGGTTCCGTTGATGCAAGGTGGCTCTCATCCACATGCCTCCCGGTCTTGTTGCTTCGGGTGTACACTGGATATGGGGTGTGTGGGTGGTGCAGCACTAACCACCCATAGTCCCTGTGCAGGCGCAGGCAACCTGTGGCTGGCCACAGTGACAGACAAATGCGAAACCGGATGCCGCAAACCATGGATGCAATTTACCAAATAACGCGTACATGGACACTCCCTTAGGCTCCACTAAGAAAATGTATTGGCAGACCTGCGTATGCGGATAAAATAGACATGTCATCTAATGCATCTTAAGAATGACACAGCCGAATATCTGTTGCTCTCAACTAGTGGAACCTTGCTTTTCTCCTTTTTTTTGCAGTCGCCGTCGGTGCAGTGCTTGGGTTCTTCATCTGTCTACTGGCAGTTGTCTTGATTGTCTACAGCCTACGATATCGGTGAGTGAGCTTTACCCAAGTCGAACAAGGTTCACATTGTTTTTTATCAGCCATCGATGAAGTGTCATTGAACGAGTCAAATGTTGTGATCTTTTGCTTGATATTTTGGCTCCGGATTATACTGTACAATGCTGTTACTTTACTTTTAGAAATGTAGATGCGTCCGTGCGCGTCTATGTGGAGCGTCTTTGTGTTCCTTAGTGTGCGATTCAACTACTCTTTTATTTAAATGGACTAGTGGAGTTGTAATCGATGGTTCTTAGAATGATGTCAGTCCGCAAGACACAACCAGGTCGATATTGGATAATAATCCTTTGGGGGTAGACGCGAATCTGGAACGGATGAAATTCGCTGCAGAGCAGTACGGTGCGGTATACATTGCTGTTAGAATACTCGATTACTTAACGTAGGAGGGACGTAGACGGAGTGTTTGCAGAGGATCGAGCATTTTACGAACCAGTGGTCTGGGACTCGCTTTGTATTACTTCCAAAATAAGCTCAGAGTTGAACGTAGAAAATGGACAACTCTTCTTGGAGCGTATATGGCTGGATGAAATACCACTTTAATGGAACCTTCTCATAGTCATGATAGTATAATTTCGTCTACCAGTTCTCTCGCGTCCACTCTTCGTCGGTGATTGGTCCAGCGAACAACGCGGACATGTATGCAACTCAAAATCTTTGAAATAAAAGAACTTTGTGGTCATAGCACTAACGGATTCAGGAAGCAATTTTTGACAGGGCGGTCTTACGACAAGGCGACATGATTACGTAAGGTCAACATGCCCTGTTAACTTTTCCGGATGAATTTGTGTCTGGCAGGACGTTATGTTTGAAGTGTGGGTGTCAAAGGAAGACTCGATATATGCATACAAAGCTGATACGACTAGCTATAATGAGCAGTGGATTGATGAATGGTTTGAGTTGTCCCTGTCGCTTGCCAGTTTGTTGGCATGGGAACCACTATGTGGTGAGCAATGGTAGCTGCGAAACACATAAACGGTCCCTTGAGCCAGTGGTAGTTGCGATCGATCGTAATACTCGCGCGACCAACCACTCCACGCTGCTTGGGAAGATTCAACGGCCCCTGACAGAGGGTGTTTCTACACAGCCCTGCAATATACACACGAAAGGCAAGCCCCGGTTCAGAGGCTGGCTTTCAATGCTCTGATGTGACCCCCCCCCCTACAACATGACCATTGTCAAGTTGTCTCAGAATACCATTCCGACACAATTTAGTAGACCATTAACCTGATTTGTCTGGAATAGGGTTTGCAACACTGCGAGGACTCCTCTAACATACAGTGTTTTGATTGGCACGTAAACCGTTATGTCATCGCTATATAGCTCCACTTGTGCATAACCCCTGGTACCATAAGGTGTCCCATTCGTAATCCACAACATATAGTCGCCATTGCGTTGATTGTACAAGACTATTTGTTTTTCTTACAGATTGATAGCCCAATACCAGAAGACAACATCTTATCCCTCGGTTCCCGAGAGATTGACCCGATCATCGAGTTCCTTCAATCCATCTATACGTGGCTATCATCCGATGTACAGTTCTATGGACTGGCGTCGAAAGTTGAACAAAAGCAAATGGGATCTGTTTAAGCCTTGGCGCGTACCTGTATGGAGTCAGAATTTGAGCGGTACCTATCCGGATTTGCCTCGCCAGACCCTCGTTCAAGGTTCTTTCAGTGGTTTCTGCCATACTCCTGAAACCATGGTTTTGGACAGATCTCACATGATGTGGAGAACGCAGATGCATCGAAGTGGTGCCTCATCTTATAGCCTAGTTCCCGGTGGCACCAGTCCAGCTGGCGGGTTAGACAACGGAGGACTTGCGAACTCTTCACCTTGGTTGCGCACCAATTCTACTACAAGACTTGTGATGAGACCACAATATTTCGCATCCTTCAGCGAACTTACCAGTCCTGTGGATGGTCACCAGCAGCTGCCTCGTTCATCGTGGCTACCATGGCGAAGGAGCTTTCGCAAACAACGTCGTCTTTACACCCAGCTTCAGCGACGTAAGGAAGCGCTGTATCAGTCTCAGCGTCGCTTGATGGAATCTAACGGGATGTCGCATAGTTCAACAATGCAATTCGCCCCGACAATCTCCTCTGCTCCCGGTCTATCATTACCAACTATAACACCACACTTACCTTCTCTAATCACTACTGGAGGCTATCTTCCTTCACCGACTCGTCCTCTTAGCCATGATACAAGTCACAGCTACAAGACGCTGACAACCAGCGAGGGCGCTAGTCCCTCAGGGATGGTGTTCGAAACTGGTGGGGCCACCATGTATCCTGTGGTCAATGGTCAGCTGCACTACCCCGGTGATAAAGTCGAGCTCTCGACGAGATGTCCTCTATATAACCCGACTGGTAATGGGTTTCAGTACGTGGATAAAAAGCCTATTGCCGAAGACGGAACAAGTGAACCATTACCGTGGAAGACCGAATCTCAGGGTAGCAGCCTGAGTCAGAGCTTCAAACGTCTCTCATCTTTCCTGCGCAATCGAAACAGTCCACTCACACCACCCAGATCTGTGAGGCAGCCACAACAGTTGCACCCCCAGTCAATGTCCACATTGAATACAGCACATTACTCTCCCACCGATGCGAACCAATCGGGGAGATCTATCGGGCAACTGCCCGAGTTCCAAACAGTGGCCGCATCACCACGAACCAGATCAGGTAAGTTCTCTCCGTCTCGCATAGTGATGACGAGCTGAGCTCTTAGACACGAGGATGTAGCAAGCGTGAATGTTTGTTGCACAGGTTAGATAGGACCTCCACGTAAACCGCAACTCGTTGAGCCCAAACTTTCATAGATTTTATCTTTGAACGATTCCGCATATAGGCCGAACGGTTCGGATTGACCGAGTCGCTTCAATTTGCCGCCTCTTGTGATCGTGTGGAAGTGAAAATTGGATTTGGTGTAGTAGACACGATTATTCTCCAATGTCTGCGCAGGTGAATTGGGAATTCTGTTCGGAACTGTATGCTATGTACGGTTATACTATGTTACGTCCCTAGCTGGCCCAAAAGACAGACCATCACTAATGCATCGGACCAGTAAGGGTGCTTGAATGACTTACTCATATTAATTCCTCATGTCATTTAGTGGCCTTGGTTAGAACCACGAAATCTTAACCCAAGTATTATATGACGACGTGATACATAGGGTTTACTGTCGCTGCAGCATAAGCCTACTAGAATGATTGATAACTGTTGTAGCGTGATGTCGAATCTATCTGTGCTAAGGTGTTTGTCCACCTGACTTCACTACCTCGGCTACTGGCTTAAAGGCACCACATCATCGGGGAACGGGTCATGCATCTCAGGCACGAACACCCCGTGCTTATCTAGTACACATGCTCCTCTCAACATAGTGGGTCGGATTCTTTCGCGGACTCACACGGTGAGTGGATGGATATGTGCACTGTTTAGCGCCAGCCGCCAAAAGCCTTCATTTTTTATACACGGTGTAAAGTACAAAAGGAACTTTGATGCATCCCCAACCTGGATTGCTTACATGAGGACACGGTATCTCTATTCCATAATTATCATACTCATTTACACTGCTTTACTGTGTCCTACAAGCGGTTAACATATCGTATATTTATTCCTTTCACCCGATCCTTGACGTTTCGAAGTCATTCATATTATTATGTTACGGTGACACTGCCCAAATACTCGCTCCGCCCCACGCTGTAAAGTTTCTGCCCACTTGCATTACGATTGCAAAACCTATTCGTAAGTCATGTACTGTATTTAATATGCCTTATAGAACCACGGTTACCGCATAATTCGTCTTATTCTGTTGCCCAGACCGTGCGTTAAGTCTAGGTTTATTTGTTCGTAGCTTCTAGTTTAGTTTTCGTACGACGTAATATCGTTGGTACACACAGGTGAAAATTTTTTATACACACTTCCAAGTACGAATTGATGTAGCTTCTGTTTTCAGTCATCTAGTCCGCTGTGGGATTAATGTTATGGAGATAACTGTCCGGATTAAATACTGGCTACATTATACTCATGTCGATCTAATTCTGTTCGCAGAATCTGGCAGTGTGCGATTCAGCGGGAGCAGCCTCATACGCAGTCTGTTTAATATCCCTACACCAAAAATTAGTGACCCGACAGCGAGCACCTATCATCTGGATACTGACAACACAAGCATTCTTAATGACCCGGTGTCCAGTTCCATGACAACTAGAGGTAGCCGAGTTGGGAGTGTGGCTGCCGCGTCACCCATTTGGGGGCCGGATTATTGGAGCCAGTACCCTGAGTTCTCTCAAGTCACCGCCTCCACAGTTTCGACCATCCGACCGCATTCGCCACCTGTCCCACTTCCCCCAACTTCCATCAATCTGCTTCGACCAAATTGGACCAGTGTACCACCACACCAAGGCAACGTGGATTTCCCCCAACTAATGGATCCGAGACTTCAAATCCCACATTCCAACGATCCATATCTAATCCCAGCTTCAGAGAAACGCCTACGAGGAGCAGCATTGAGATGTGAAGAGCCTAAAGGACAAAATAACGCAAGTGGTGGTAAGTGAATCTAACAAATCCGTACCAACAACAGTTGGTGTTTCATGCTACACACTGTTGGAGCGTCGAATTCGCACAAAACTCGAGTACGGAGGAGATTTTTCATAAGCCTGTCGATGAATTATCCAGTTAAAACGCTAAAAAGTGACTTGGTTCTCGTGGCCCACTGCATTATTTGTCGCTCCTGAGTCATATCAGCTAGTAAGGTTGTTCTACGGGCAGAAGCACAAGACTCAGCATACCAAAGCAGTGCGATGATTCATATCTCGTCAAAGTTTAGCCAAGCCAAACCGATTGATAATTCCAGCCGCCTCGGTGCCACTCCTACTATTGAGTGGCCAAACATATCCGAGTTGACATCCTCCTCAGAAGGTCTAGAAGTGTTTGACAACCTCAGTGCCTCCGAGCCCGGCTGTGGGAGACAGCAGTGTGCGAGTTATAAGCTCAGCTGGATCGGGGTGGAGCACGAACATTACGGTGCGAAAGCGTCGTGGTTGTTGTTCAGTGAAATGATACCGCTGGCTCCAAAGTGGACAGCCGATGGACGTGCTGTTGTCACCTCACCTGCGGTTAACTATAGTCACGTATGAATTACACTATATGGGCGGAGAGCATGCATAAATAGTTTCGATTCTTTCTAGGCTGCGTGCGGCTGGTTGCATACAAATCCGAATGGGACTCTGGACCTGCTCCTTAGACTCCGGGCGAAGTACACCAAGCGAGTATCGGTTTATCTATCCGCATGATGTCAGACTATGCAGTTAAAGGAGTAGAGATAATTGTGATCAAGAAGCAGGTATACGAAAGAACGATTGGCGAGCAGTGCTTAGCCACAAACTCAGTCCTCTGCCTCTCTACCTTCCCTCTCTGAAACCTCCTTCTCAGGCTAACCAGCAATGACTTCATCTCTAATGTTAGTGATGTAAGTCGTCTTACGAACTAAGGGTCAGATTTCAAATAGATTATTTTAACGTTCGCGGCATGTCACATCGGTCGGTAGGCAATGCTGTCTTTCGCTATTCACTTTTTATGGGGCAAAGTTGTGGCATATCTTCAAAACACGTGTAAAAAACAGTAGTGCCTTGGCATGTATAGTGCCACCCAGCTAATATACTAGTGACTGTCTTCCGCGACCCCGGTAACGTCCGCTTGAGTACTCCAAGTAGTGAAGACATTGAAGTGACACTTAGTAGAATAGTTGCATACCATCACTAGTGGATTCGTGAATGGTTATTCACGCTCGTACGCGATACAGCCCACGTTTATTGCTTCGGCTGCAGATAGAGGAAAAGAAAGTTTAGTTTCATCGGAAAATTGCATCTTTTGTATACAATATCATAATTGCATGTGACATGTATTCTCAATTTGATGGCTTATCGGAGTTCGGACAACTCTTGAAAGACCGTAAAAAGGTGTCAGCAATACAGCGAGACGTTTTGTCGATGCGTCGTTGCCATACAACTAGCACCGGTTGCATACGGTCTAAAATACTGCGAAGTCCCATTTAGCTATCCAGTCTAGAAGTGGCGAGCGTGGATTACAAATTAAGATCTGAACCTGTCCGCTAACAATCGGCTCAAGGGCAGTTTTGGAGTCAATGGTTATCACATTGATAATGGTAACTGGTGTATTCCACATCGAAGTTAAAGTACGTCGAAATTATGCATCGGACTGCATCTATCTTGACATCAGTCACAAGCGACACACGTTAGTGTGCACTTGTCTGTCGATTTTGAACATCTATGTGATTCATGTTCCAATGCTCATACTTGTCGACCCTAGCCCCCTGGTTTCAGTGAAGTGCCTAGACACGAGAGTGCTCAGGTGTCAGTTGTATTCATGGTTTACCACTAGTCAAAGACACAGATTTCACCATTTACCTAATGTGATCGTCCTCGATGTTTTTGAGAGATGTCGAGACAGGATTGTCAGGTAGCTACGACGAAAACGGAAAAACGCTGGGAGGCAATTTCGTCTAATTTGGACTTATAAGTATCTCACTTCCGTCGAACCCTATTGGCGTTGGACGCAGGACTCCTTCTGCAAGTCAGCGGCGCAAGCAACTGACTCGTGAGTGATGGTGGCGGACTGCCTTAACTGATGACCAGCTACGATATACTGCGGATCATCTTTTACTGCCATGCAAGTGGGGAAAGGTGCAGACAGGGATGGCCCCCAGGACCACGACATCTATTGCAAGCCAATCCAGGTGGAATGTTAGCTGCTACGGAGATGACAGAATGTTGGTAACCACCTTCGTACGCTTAGCAGGTGGGACCACAGATAATCAGCCGGTAGTATGTCAAACAGGCCTGAACAGATTTGGTTGGGCTTAGCGTACAAGGTATCGGAACAAAAGGTGCCAATAATCGATGTCCTTACCCGACAAGACACAATTTCTGTGGCCTGCATTCGACCTTGTGCGCTCAGTTGCTAGCTCTCTATCCGATAAGAGTTAATGTAGTTCCTCTCCGCGCCATTTTCGCTATTTTGCTTCGCCAGTTTACTTTTAGTGAGCTATAGCAACCGGAGCAACTGATAGACTGACAGCTGCTTTACTGAACCAGACCAGAAATAAGTCAACGGACATCCGACCAATGTCCGAATTGAGGGTAGATAGCGTCCGTCGACTAAAAGAGGTGGCCGCATTCAGATTCATGTGAAAATTTTTCGAAAATGTTAATGGGCTACCTTTAGAGGAACTGTGTTCTACTCTGGGCAGTGACAAGTCAAAGTGTTAGCCAGAAAATTGGCGATCTGTGAATCCAAGTGCGTAATGCGTAACGAGTCCACAGTGGAATGACCAGGATTACAGTACAGTATGCATCGTCGATAGCCGTCATGTAAACATAGGCAAGTGTCTTGTATAATCTAATGGTTATCGATTTAAACCGGTGCTCTGCTGGTTTCGGTGTGGGAGCATCAGATTCGCGAAGCTTGCTCAGCTCAATAGAGGCAGGTTGTTTCCCCCTCGAGTGGGACGGTCAGTAGAAGGCACCGACGTGAGCCATTAATCTTACATGTCGCTAGCGATTCCATTCCAGTGATTCCATGAGAAATCCAACAAATAAGATTGAGAAAAGTACGGAGGAGGAATGACGAATTTCCCACTGCTCGCTTATTTGCTCAGCTGTACTCTCGAGTTCTTGGAGTCCCTACCTGGAACTTGGCTCAGAAAATGGGTAGATTCGAAACTCGGAACGGTCGGATATGCGGGCGAAATAGGTAGTTTGTCTACTTTAGAACACAACGGTCGATATGTCTGCATGATAGCTGTGTGCTTCGCTCACCTATCACCCATAGAAACCGCGAGCCACAAAAGTTGGCCTTTCCTCATTTTGTTCGTGTAATCTTTGACGAAAAACCTCCACAGCACTATGAAGCCGAAGGGTGCAACTAGGGAAAAGGACGTCAGGCGTCACTGGGAACAGTAATGTGCCGTTTGATGGTAGACGCACTTATTCCATATGGGTGGATAAGAGCAACCTAAGTGGGCGGTCAGACAAATGTTTTGTGTAGAAACTTTCCGGTTGTTTGACCTAACGAGTGAAGCACCCGAAGTAGTCACCTCATCTAGTAGCACACAGCGGCCGAATATCCAGCAGTAAACGTACGCCGGTGATCAGGTTAGCATTGGGAATTACTAAGCCAATCTCAGTGATTGATCACAAGCATATGTGCATGGTAACTAGCCTATGAACGCGCGCATGCCTCAATCGAGCGAATGGATGAAGAACATCCAGATGATGCAATGTATTAGGTCGCTGTCTGCCCGTTCTACTACCCGTGCAGACAACAGTTGACAGTATCATTTCACAGTGCAATCAACTTAATCCGTAGGATTGTAAATTGGTCTGTTACTCTTACATGTCGGCCGTTTTTGGTGCGTACAGTCGCGTAGTGGCCTCGTTCATCAGGCTATAGAACGTTGGGTGTAAGCATAGGGCCAAATGTAGGCACGTGTGGCAAATTGATGCCGGCCGCACATTCCCAAGAGGAATTTGTCACCCGGGCCGCCTTAGGCCACCAATTTCGAGGATTGGAGCATGTCCCACCTTGATAATTTAAAATATCACGTCAGCAGAAAGTATTGCTATTTGTTCGCATTCCATCACGACCATTAGTCAGTTTCTGCACTGAAGTTACCCGACACTTGTCCGTGCAAGTAATTGATTCCAATAGACACACTTGGCGCGCGGGCCAACAGGTACGAAACGAATGACGCACTGAGTCGGGACGTTCCAGTTGGACATATTTGGGACGAATTTCTATCGCTCAAACAAATTTTCGGGTTACCCTTTTGGCTATAGTATTGCGTAATTACAATTTGGGAATTGATTTCCGCCTACTGTTGTCGGTGTTTGCAACTAGAAGAAATGCATACACGCTATAGTTTGAGGGTGCCCCGGATATAAAATGGAGTAACACGTATGTAGCTGGGATCACATTTGTTTGGCTTCAGACACGCAACCGACCAAATTAGATCGTTTTTAAAACTGCACGCAGACGTTTATGACGTATGAAGTTAGGTTATCGACGGTCTTTTGAACTGGCGCTCAGATCGATTAGGCTGGGGCGTTTTCCATTCTTACAGAAAACATCAGGGATTGTTGCTGAACAACTGCAACCACATGGATGAAGAATTTCGGTGGTATTCTCCACAGCAGCACCGAACTCATCGGCCTCTGGTGGGTGGACCCAGTGATCAAAATCGCAAAATTTCGCTTTAGAGTAAACCGTGATCCCAATTGAGATTGTGTCGCAATCCAGACATATGGCCTGTACCGCAGGGCCCAACAGTGCAACTAAGTATGTTCCGAATGTACCTTACGGCACTGTATAACATGAATTTCAACAAAGAACGGCATCGTGTGTTAGACGACGTACACCGGACCTACACGAAAATAGGGTTTCGAGTAGTCCTTCTTATGCCTTGTTGCCGTGGACGTTTTATAACCATAAGGTCGTCCATGCTCGGAATACTTAGCACTCGGCAGTTGTCAATGTCTTTTACTAAATGTCAGGGACACTGTTAGCAATACAGCAAATTGCAACCCGTAACGGACATCACACGCTAGGTCGGTACCTGCTCCATGGATTAGGTGGGTGGTTCCCTTCAATAGCCTTGGTGTGCAGGAAGCCAGTTAGTCTAAAAATGCGTTAATGAAGAGATTTTCAGAGAACTTTTCCGAGCAGAGCTCTAAAACAGCAACGGGCATAAGAATCATGGTAATATAATGGGTAGAGGGACTGTAGCTGGCAGCAAAAAGCTAAACCAACGGACAATATCACGTGAATAAAGTGGTCAGTTGCGTCCGTGTTCGTCCAGGGTGTGTTAACAGCAATTAAGCCTACTCGACGCTGATCCTAGGGACTCGGTCACTTTTGTGGATCCCAATAATGCAGTCGTCAAATGATGTATGCCTGATAAGAGTCAGATAGTTTGATATTTACACCACAACACCATCCTTTCTAGGTCAACACGAGCCGAACATGCCCAGCGGCACGAGCTCTGCAGTTAGCTCCCTTGTTTTCGCCGATTCAGCAGAAGATGAGCTGGAAGTTTCAGAAGCAACCACCAATCCGCGACCCCACCGGATATCAGGTGTACAAGTCACTGCGGTGCCTAGTCCTGGACAAACGGACGAGCACCATGAACGTAAACCGGTCCCAGCCAATCGTGAGTGGACGAAAGATATGATGGACTATGTGACGTACGATGAAACACGTTCCTTCAGCGGAAATCTAGCAGAAGACGATGCAGCTCAAAGGACTTTGATGGAGATTGAAGGTCCACTGATTGCAACTCAAGTTGGCGAACTTCCGGATGCTATCGGCCCATGTTCAGAAGGAAAAATGGACCAACTAAAGCGCAAGCGCAGCAGAAAGAAGGGTGAGTGCATCATCGTTATTTCCCACTGCCCTAAATGGTAGCTTCTCGTACGGTCCCGTTCGCTACTAGGTAAGATAATTTTGGACAGACGTGTTGACAGTAAAGCAGAGACTCGAGAATCCTGAAAACCAAGAACTTAAAATTGCAGTGAGTCGCCTTTGCAGTCGAGCGGCAGCTAAGATTTTAACCACAGTCCGAGTTTTGGTATTCGAAAGGTGTCTCAAAGTGAGCAACTTCTATCCACGCCCGCAAAGTCTATGGTCCACCGATTCTAACCTATCCGTCGTGTGCATGCAGGCGATATTTGTGATGGTTGAACATGCGCGCCAGTTCATTCATGAATTCGGCACTGTGCGAAATCGCCGGACGCTAGTATGACACTGTTCCATGCGACCGCTCAGGTCCCCACACACTTACGATCCAGAACTAAGAGAAGAGAAACCGCCATCTCCAAGGTACTCATCCAATGTAAAAGGCAAACTGAGAAATGTGCTTTGCTTGATGACACCATGATCCAATTAAATGACTCTGATTTGTGAAAAGTTTAACTGACTGATTAAACATTCTATCAATTATCATGCAGACCAAATCGACTCGAGACCTCTTTCAGAGGCGATGATCAGCAATCACTATTACGTCGGGAATGAAGTCAGTGCCAACTACCCGGAGCCATCGGAACCGGCTCCAGTTCTGCGACCTGCGTTTTCGCATGCTGGTGCTCCAACCAGTATGTCACCCAAGCCACACCCACCCCTGCCTCCGTTGTGGAGAAGACCATCAACGGCATCATCCCCTACCAAAGCCACACGCCCATTCAGCTCCATTGGCAGGGATGAATACGGTTCTATCGATTCGCTGTACGAAACAGTGGATCAAGTGAAAGTGAATGGTACTCAGACTGACATCAAGGTAAGGCATCATTTTGAGAGTTTTTGAGGTGCACGCCTGCAGCATCGACAGGACAAGCAATGTAGGCTACCAATTAATGCGGTCCGAAGGACTTAAGTTAAACGGTGTATGTAATTGAAAGGGAATGTGGGCCAACGTGACACCGTCCCACTCATATTTTCGTCCAGCCCAGTTCATCTACATTCGTAATGGAAAGAGGGCATGTGAAGTAAACCACGGGTAGCTATCGGCTGCCGTACTAAACGCAAGTTCATTGTCTCCTGTTTGTTTTTATTTCCAGCTTTCAACGAGGACTGCCATCTGCTCATCTCGCATTCTGACTCCAATCACCCAAGAGACGCAACTTGAACGGCAGAAATTAGCGCTCCCCCCGACGCCAGACTCATCGGAGTCTTTGCGTGCTCCAGTTGCATCGAGTGACGAGGAAACCGAGGACGACCTACTGAACAAATGAGTGTTTCTGGATTCGCTGAGTTCCTAAGTCTTCCAACATTCCCGCTGCGCCATAAATCTAATTCATTCCACGAATAAAAATGAACACAGTCCATGGTGCGCTATGATGTCCAAACTCTAAAGGCTTGGTAAGTGAAAATGATCACAAAGGACATTTCAGATCCCAATTTAGAGGTGTGCATGACAGGCAAGCACCAGTCAATGTGCTTTTTTCTCTTTCCAAATGCTAGATGCTAAGAGTAAACAAGAAAGCATCGGATATACACATACACACTGCCGTTTTCCGTATTGCAGGCCAACGCAATCCCCGCAATTGCCAACAGCCGGTCCAATTTGAACAAACTCGAGAAATTCGCGCATTAGGTGTCGTCAAACTCTACGGACCGTGCCGCGGCACATTATGGGATATTTTGTCTTCCACATAACTTCCGCTGAATACGGCGCCATAAGTAGTTGGATCCAAGCCCTACCCAATGAGCCCAACGTGGCCCCTCTCTAGGATCCAATCAACGAGCTTGTGCATTGGGTTTTTTATTATGCTTTTCTTTTGTAAACGGATCACTCTCACCCACTCCATCATGATGATATCAACAACAGATAAGATTGATTCGTCGCCCCGCGCTATGAATTATCATGCGTTTTGTGCTTCTAACCATTATAATTATGCGTTTCACAGCATGTGGCACGTTTGCGCGAGGTAAGTGAGATGAGGCGCTGATATTTCGGGAGATCAGCATTAATTGGAATCCTAAATAATGCGTCTGAAAGCTCCACTTATCGCATCGAGAACACATGCATATGCACGAATGGGTCGATTTTCGACTAATTTCAAATACCATTCAAAGTAACTAATACAGCTGGGCTGTTACTATATAAAAAGTTTGTCTAGTGCCATGTAGGATACAAGCAACCTGATATTCCGTTCTCCAAAGATTCCACGGGTGCTCGATATGTAACCACATTTGTTACGATCACTTACGCAAGTCAGGCGACTCTGTCTGCTTGTCGCGTGAAATGATTACTGTTACTGCTCAAACAGCTTAGTACGAGTGAAAAACGTCTAAAAATCTAAGTGAAGTGCCTTGATCGAGACTTACTTGGGTGATGGGAACCGTCAGAGTCGAACCTAGAGACTCGCCTATGGCTCCGAGTGCTGGTGTTGAGAACTGTTATCATAACACCAGTATTCACCCACTTCCCAATGTGTCTTTAGGTGGCGACGACATAATAAGGTTGACAAATGCTTCCGTTAAGTCGTGGGCACCCGCTAAACAGGTAACATAGAGCATGCGATAACAAAGGGGGGGGATAAACAGATTCACGTTTTGGCACCGGGTTTCAGGAATTGGAACAGAATAGTCATTTGGCGCGAACGGACAGCAAATGCAGATGTAAATACGTTCTTCTGAATGACAGTGATAGGAATCGACACGCAGACAAACAAAGTGGAAGGTGTGGCTAAGATGCTGCTATCCGGATCATCCCGTGATTGCGGGCGTACAGCAGAAAAGCAGCCAACAGACCAATCCCAACCAGTAGGCAATCCCTCAATGGATGGATCGTTAACAATCCACTGTCGGCGGTTTGGCGCTTCGATGCGGACAGAGCTATTTCTGCAAAGAGACCAAAGGGACGTATGTCACTGTGGTTTACTCGTGGGGAGAAGATGGCGTGCAAATGTATTAAAAGGGTGGACGCTCACCTTTGCGAAAAGTGGCAGCCGCCTGCTGAAAATATGTGCCTTGGATGCGAGTAAAATGGGCCACCAAATTGGAACATTGTAACACGTGTGAGATAAGTGGATGTGTGGACGAGTGCCCTCGATAAGCGGGTGCTTCACAAGGACAAGTCCAGTTCGCTGTGCCGTGCTTCGATTCGTACAGGAGTAGTGGCCACAGTCGAGAGAATAGATAAGCGTCCGCAGCCGTCGGTCTGGAAGAGAGGTACACATGAAAACAGTTAAAAGACAAATTAAAGTGTGATCACTATGAGGGTGCCTGAAAAATTTCCCATTGATAATATGCGCACGCAGTTGTGGTAAAATGCACCTCAGTGACAAACTCTTTCTAGCTAGGTGGTCTTAATTTCGAAAAGCGTGTTGACCGCAAGGAAGAAAAAACCAAATAGCATAAGATCAAGATTGTAAAAGCAATGCTCATGTGAGGTGGTCAGAGGTCGATTGCGCGGGATAACGTGGGTTTGATGAAGTGCCACAATGTATCCTAATACAAGCCCCGTCATGGTCAATCTGCAGAGAGGTTTGATATCGCTGTTGCTTGTCTGGAAGCATAAGATTATAGTGCCTCAAGAACTGAAGTACTGGTTGGCAAATTACAATGAGAAACTACTGGACAATATCTTGTTTAGCTCCATCGAAAGTGATAGTTTAATGCGTGGTGACATTTCCTAAGGATGACAAGCTCGGTGATATGTGTAGACCCCGTCAGATAGAGTAGATCACTGCCCAAATGAAAACGTATGCCAAATGCAGTCTGTAACTACGACCGCTACTACCGATTTACAAACCCAATCACCAAACGTACGCACGGTCTGGGCAGTATAATAAGAGGGCGGTGGGCAGAATAAGTTGTACTGAATGAATCGTGGTTGAATAAGTGAATGGACTCGCAAACGGATGTAATGTAAATCCAGTCAAGTTCGAACAGCGGCAACAATAGAGGTACAGTAAACGCAGCGCAGTAAAACGAAGGACTGGATACTTAGGCTCAGGTTAAAGGGAGGAAATTTTATATAAACAAAAATTAACGCGAATGTGTTAGTTCCTTCGGATAATTATCCGAATTACAATACATCAACCAGTGCAAATTATGATGAAATGGGAAAGGAAAATGAACTACTCATAAATTATCAGTAATGTTAACCAGCTTCGCGAATTGTAATTCACGCACCTTTCTCCGACAAAGTATTTCTTATCCCCAAGAATGTAGGACATTGCGGTGAGACAACGTTTGGCTGCGGCATAGAGCTAAAAGAAGATGAAATGCTGGTGGTTAATGAAACACAGTGACGTGTGTGAAAAGGTGGAGAAGATAGGAAGGACGAACAACAAATAGGCTGCTTTACTGAACATGATCTATCGGACAGTAAAGTTGGGTTTTTTTTGCAAACGGACTGAGTGGGTTTGAATGGAGTTATTGACGCCGCAACTGCGGAAGACACAGTCCGCTACTGGTAAGATGGCTAAGCCGTTAGCCCGACCGAATAGATGAAGTAGACGGTTCAGACTTTCCGAAGAAAGTCCGGGGCTCTGGTCGCATCAGAAATTGCCGATATCGTAGTAGTGATGATAGGTGCAGTGAACTCATACGGTAGCGTAGTGTTTAAAAAAGAGCCGAAGTTAATTTGGAGAATAAGTTGACAAAATGATACGTACCTCGTTCTCAATCTCTGTATCAGACTTTCGACGAAGGCAATGTGTCAACTGTGAGTGCCTCGTACGATGCATCTGCCATTTCCGCCATCGAAAAGGCATGAAAACAGCAGACAGTTGCGATAAAGCGGTTGTGTAGCATTTGCGTGTAAATTTGGCAAACACAGTGTCGTCGCACCACAGAAACCAGTCAACCGCGGGAAATAGTTGACGTTCAAGCAAGCCAACTAAAGAGGCTAACTCCACGTTCTCGATGTCAGCTAGACCGTACTCCAACCCGTAGTTCTGCAAGAAGAAAACCAGGGAAGAGGTACGTCCTGTGTGAGTAACTGCGATGAGATGAATGCGAATCCGTAAAACGGGAGCGATAGACTTGGGGGAGGCACTACAGTGAAGGAGAGAATGTTGAGATATCGAAACCACAGTAGGCGATAGTATCAGCCGGGAAAGAAAAAAATGTGCCACAGCAACGACCAATTCATCATATCTTTTGTACGAATGTGCCCAGTGGCCTCTAGGTTTCTGCGATTTCACGCAGAATGGAACAATAGGACTAACGTGGGTGAAACAGTAATTGTTTTGATTTCGAAAATGGCAATAGCATTGTTCGATCAACGATCTCATCTTACATGGGCAGTTAATATATGGGCTGGGGATCCATTGAAGGAGATACTGCTTACATTACCGATGACAAATACTTGAATGCGAGCCCGAAAGTAAGTTTATTGAAAATTAAAACAATGAGCGGGTAATCGGGATGATATCACACTAAAGGTCAGTGGCCAATGACAACATTGAAACGAAAAGCCAAAGCGAGAAAAAGACAGTTTCGGTAATACCATGACCAACCTCAGGCACCGCAGTTGTTGGAGTTTATGCAAGTCTCTAACAGGTAGTTAAACGACCATGGGCCGAGCAGCTACAGGTTGCGAACCCAATTGCTGCCACTCACGTCATAAGGATAGCAATAATGGACAGTGATGGAGAAAATGGGCAGAGGAAAGTGAGTGAAACTGATCGGCTAGATTCAGCGGACCGAATGTATTGACTCCGTGACAACACTAAGTCGGATAATCATTTCCATGAATGGTTTGACAGACCCCGAGGCGTCAATCCGCGAGGATGACAAGTGCCAGCAAGAGTAGTTCTCACAATCAATCCCTCGTACTTTTGACTGTACATCCTGTAGTTCCACCCAACTTGATGGAATGACGATTCATAATCTCCAGCGAGACAGGCCATGGAGGGTAGATGAAAGACTTGACTTAGCTGACGTAAACGGTTCAATCGTGTGCGGTGCTTGAGTGTTTCTTCCAAAAACCGACCGGAGGACTTAAAGTATTGAGCACCGCAGCTCCCAGGTATGAGCAAACGCCGGTGATCGGACTGTCATCTTCAGTGTCCATAGTGCGTACTTGTCATGCTCCCGACTCCTACAGTAACGCTGGCATTAAACAGCATCGCACACTGTACCTTTGGTTGAAAGGCTCATATCCAACAGTCTCTGTATATGACCGGAAGTTTGGAAAGCCAGAGGCAATATTGATACATACAGTTGAGTCTTCACCAGTGATATAACTCCTAAGATGTGGGAACCGACTGACCACTTGTGGGTGCTAGAGCCGGTAGTGTGCTGGATGATACATGCGAAAATTCCTTGCGCTTTGGAAGTGCGAAGAACTTACTTAGGCGTGCAGAGGCTGGATCTCATCTACTAAGGGTTAGGTCGCCCGCCACCCATTAGAACGCCCGCTGCCTAAGTACCGGAAGACGGACGTATGATCATTTCAAATACAAATTCGTAGACGAAAAGGGATGTGTGGAACAATGGCGAATCTCAGTGCTCTTGGTAAATTCAGGATGTAGATTACTCGTCCTCAGGAGTTGTGGTAGATTTTCCATGACAGAACAGACATGGAGCCGTTAAGGATCATTAAAACAAAGGGATGTGCACTTGTGGTTAAAATAATAATGCAGCGCAGAGCAATTCATGGTCGCTGAAACCGAAATAGGGGGTTGACTTAGAAGACACTCCGAGCCTTTGGCCAAATAGCCTACCAGCAAGGCAGCGGAGCAAAGTCAGGGAAACGCGCCCATTGGGGCCAGTGACCAAGTTCTTAGTTCATCTGTCTTTGGAGTGGTGAGTTTCCAAACTAGACAACAATGCTGCACCGAATTTTCCTGACAAGTCCCCAAGGATAGCACCATAATCTGACACAACCAAATAAAAAAAAGTAAATTGTTAGGTGGAGGTATCGGTTTGTTCCAGTACTCGATGAAGTGTGAATATGTGATCAGTGCATCCTCGAGCGTAGAGGAAGCCAGCCTGGCTCTATTGATTCGGCACCCATGTGGACAAGTTCTCCTAAAGTGGCGATTGTGGGAGAATCCAGGGGAGTAACAATGACTTTAGTTTAAAGATCAGTGAGAAGATGGAAGCTGCTAGATAAATGCATCTCATACTATCTCCTCAGTACCAATAAAGGATGTCATACCTCGTCGTGCCAACCGCACGTCTTCGCACTCCTCGTTTTCCCGGAGTTGCTCCATCACATTTTGTCGCAAGTCTCTGGATCCGTCTTGGACTGATGACTGCGGCTCATGGAACCATTCTTCCAGGAACACTATCAGTGCATCCTACATTTATCCGAATAGTGTTACACTGATACCCACGCGCACAACCTTGTGTTATTCTAACGGTCGAACCCAGTTTTATAGGGCATTCCAACAACGTTCGAGCAACTTCACACTCGTTTCAGTTCACGATTGTGTGGAGCAGCTATAGGGTAATTTACGTTTCTCGTCAACGAGCCCCACACAGTCTCTCGGCAATTCCGTTTTGGGGCAATAGATAGGCACGGCAACGAAACTCCGTCCATCAATGTATGATGCTGTTGAATTGCAGGTACTACTCAGAACAACTTACCTTTCTGCGGACAGATCACTTAATAGATTCATTTCACGAGAGACTGACACGTATTTCAACATCTAGCAGACGATTATGTTGCAATTCGCAGGTGAACCGTAAGTTAGTATCTGCCTTGTCAAGGTTCTCTCTCAAATGCACGAACTTCTACTCCAAAGAACAAAAAACCAAGATATCACTCACTTGGCATTTGTAGTGTAGTCTAGTTCACGTAGCACACGAAAGCAGTGTTCTGTGAACTCGCAATTTGACCAACTGGAAAGTTTTAACCTCGAGATGAGACTTGACCTTAACGTGGCGCGGTGGTTTGCGTGCTTAAGGGATCCACAGAGCTATACTGAGTGGTGCTTTTTGCACTTTCAGAGCCACTCCTACGAGATTGGTCAGTGATTAGAGGCCAGACAAACAGTATCCTGACCCTCCAGGTTGGGGGTTGAGGTGAGGGCGGCTCCTTATCCTATGAAACACCGCCTGTAGCCCTGTGGCGAAACCCCGCTGCCTCGAAGTAACGTTTCTGAACCAAAGGCTTTGGTTGAGAACCTCAATCGCTCTACTGTCCAGGCTTTGGTTTGGTTAAAGAGCAGACTGATAGACATATCCCATTATTTCTTTAGCGCTCCAATACAAAGCAGACTTGTCTCGCTGCAGAGCACCATAAAGCACTAGGTGATCTAGAACAAAGCAAGGATATTGTTATAATGAAGCCTGATAAAGACACCGGCGTTGTTATCCTGAATAAGTCCGAGTACTCACGTAAGATAGAGATAATATTGTTGGACGACACAAACTTCAAACCGGATATTAGTTTGGACACTGTCCACTTAGTGGAGAAGCAGTCATGTCGTGAAGTGCAAATCCTCAGACTCCATAGATTAATCTCTGACGACGAACATAAGGCGTTGAATCCTGTGGGTACCCATACACCACAAATGTATGCTTGTGTGCTCCTGTGGTGCATGATACGTCGGTCGCACTTCGAGGCGTTTATCCCATAGGATTCACGAGCATATATCGATGTGGTTCTACAGAGGTGAAATGAAGTCTTCTAACAGCTCAATTCTGTTACACATGTTTCCGCAAACAATTGCCCCCTATTGCCGAGACCATATACCTTCGTCATTTGAAATCTGAGTTGTGTACAAATGAAGTACGTGCGGCCTATTTTGTTACAATGGCCAAGGAGCACTGGTACTTAAATATCCGTTTGTTATCTTTCTTTTCGCGTGATTAATGCCTACTATTCCATTTGTTGACTGGGTACATTATCTGTAGCTGCGTGGGATCAAGTTAGCTCTTTACGGAACTTCTACAATTAATCCATCATGTAAACATTATGGTCTGATGAAACCAAGCAAACCAAGCGAACACACCAACTCGGCCACCGGCCGGCATGAGGGGGTAGGTAAAGTGAAGTGTGTCGGAATGCTGTGGGCGGATTGTCTTATCTTCCATCTAAGCAACCTAGAAAGCGTGCATGTTGGAACGTTGGCTGTGTCTTTGAGTAAACCAGATGGAACACACTTCGCGTACCTCCGGTTTTCCGCCTCGAAGAGTGGTCGCGACGTCTTCGTGGGCGAACATACCTCTCGTCTAACTGGAACCCATTTACGATGCCTCTAGCTAGCGGGATTGTACTTTTCAACAATCAACGTATATCTCGCTCATTTATTCGTCTTCTTCCGGCTCTTCTCTAAGACGGGACAAACCTGAGTTTATAGCGATCGAGCGATTCCTCTTACAGGATGACACTTATCGAATGTCCATTTCGAGAAAGTTCTGCTCATGGTCGTTCCCCTCTAACCTTGACTCTCAAGCAGTAGGCGAAAACGCGCGCTAGTCCGGAAAATTTTATATCCACTAATCTGATCCACGAACTAGTAGGTTGCGAGTAAGTCCGAAATCCGGAGGGATAAGTAATGAAGTTGTACTATTCCGGTTTCGAGTTGCTTTACTTGTAAGGTGAAGCAATTACACAACAAACTTCAGTCTAGTGAAATGGGAAAAGTTTCACAAAAATATCACAATAATAAAGACCCCATACTCATTAAGACAGTAACAGGTTGTGAACATAGGTAGTAATAAAGCATACCTCACTTCGCAAATAGGTTACGATGTCTTTCGCACCGTGTTTCTCAATGTTAGCATGCCTAAGCATGGGAAGCCTCTCAAAACATGCATCTTGAGTCAGCGTGTCATTCGTAGGCATGGGGCATTCTCCTAGACGCACGTATGTCTGGAATGAGCTATCTGCAAAAAAGCATACTGAACTTACAAGCACCAAAATAGAATCCGGGTCGAATGATACAATTCCGTCGCAGCCTGGTGAGATGAAAAGCTCCATGGCTAAAAGAAATAAGGGTATGATTAGCGTAGGGTGAACAGGAAGTAACAGTGTAAGCATTGAATAAGCGAACAAGACTTTCCGAGGGAAATGGACATTGGGTACTGGTCGCCCACCTCCCCGTCCGAAAACACTGCACTCCACGTTCGGCATCAGATTTGTTTGCACCCGTCAGAAGAAAGACAGGTTATTCGCAGTATGATGGTATGCAGTACCGACGCTTCGCTGCCGCGCGACCGCCAGTAGTCGTATTTGGAAAAAGGATACTAAGAGGGTCGCGCGGTCCTTATGTAGGCTCAAACCCGCGCCCTCGGTTTGTGATCCTTAAGGTTACGGGCCGACATAAGGTAGAGAAGGCATGCACTCGAACTCATTGCGGTCCGGATAACAGCCGAAACTCCTATTTCTTAAGCCACCGAGTCGATACTTTCCCAAATTACTCCGGAAGGTGGTCATGAGCGTCCCAAGCAGCGTTGTAGGCTAGTATGATTTAACGGTTGCCCTAAACAGACGCTATCACCGACAGATGTGAAGTCCAGATATCACAGCAGAGTACGGTCCATCACAATGCAAACAACCGTGGATGCGGCGGAGTGATGGGTGAATGTTGGCCTCGGACTCAGTGCATAGCAACACTTCTCAGTTGCAAAACTGATCGACTTTCCATTATGTATTGTAAGTAATCAACCGACTATTTCTACCCAGTCAAGTAGACAATTCACATTAGAAACATTGGTCATAGTGCACTGATTGTGTCTATCCTGAGCACGATAAATGATAAAGAAAAGATATATCCTCAGCTGTACCCCTACCACTAAGCGGATTTGAACCGGTGACCCCATGGTTGCAAAGCAGGATGAAGACCACTCGGCCAGTGGCTGAGCACGGTAATCGGTAAATGATTGTGCAGATGAGTCAGTATCCATAGCCCTACTAAGACTGGTGGTGATTGCGCGGCAGCCAAGGGACGGCGCTGCGTGCCGGCGTACTACTGATGCCTGCCAGATATATAAGAGCCAGTGTAGCAAGTATCAAAGAATAAGCCTTAAGGTCCGAGTTTAGGCTCTAATAATAGATTATGGCAAACAAGAAACTGCCAGAGATACCGCGGTACTGTTGCCTTTTTTACCATACCCTAAATGGACAGGGTACTAATGCAACCGTAGACATACTTCACACTCACTGAGCCATGCTGAGCGGCGCTTTCGAGCACCCCGAGAACTACACCCATCCCATTAGACAATGATAAAGGTTAGACGGATGCAACTACGTGGTCACTCTTGAGGGTTAGAAATGGGGCAACCCTGAAGGATGTGAAAATAATCTAAGCTATAGACTGATGACCAGTTCTCGACATGTTGCACGCAGGCTTTTCGATCGTACTTCGTTAGTGGCGCCAGACAACTTTCGCGTTCAGACTTGGGCACTACATAGTGTTTTATCCTACACATAGCCATAACCATCGCGCTAAATCCAACCTCGCACAATCCGGTCAAAAGAGATGGTAAGTAAAAATAGCATATTTCTGATCTGATGCATCGACTAGATGCGTTGAACTCAATTCAGTTCAGTATGTCGAGTATACTTTGTGCAACGAGGCGCGGTGGATACTGTAGCTTTGACACGATGCCAGGACAACAATTCACTAGGAATTCATAGGGAATTAAATGCTCAAATGGAATCAGAAATTCGAAAACGAACGAAAGTGCATCGTGTCCTTTCCGATAATATATTCAATCATGGCTTGACTGAACCTCATCCAGAAAGACAACAATCATCATCAACAGCAGTACATCAACCATGTGAACGGAGGCTCCGCTGCCGTACAACCATAAGGACTTACGGAACGAAGGATAATTAGGAGAGAAGGGGGACTCATCGAAAAACCTAAGCAAACATTCAGTGTTAAGACGCCTACACTTCGTCAACTACATACCGTCACAAACAGCTGGCCATCGTGCAAAGATAAGGAGGCATCGGGGATACAGCTTCCTTGCGCCCTTCACTGCCCTGCATCATAATCAGCTACTACCCCGCAGATAACACAGCGCTAAACACACTTTAAACAGACAATCCGATTAGGAGACGACGGCAGAGGCGCCATTGATCGACTGCGAGCCATATCCTGTAAAGTCACGAGCCAAGCACAAGGCAAACCAGGTGGACTCCAGCCTGAAGAGTATGGACGTCAGTGACTTCATTTCTCGCTGCCAAGACAACTTTTGTCCACCTCGAGCCTTGCGCCACTCTACATCTAGCAGGCGAAACAAGGCCCTCCTAGGTAAGCGGAGACCAGGCATACGTAGTACGTGACCAGGCCAACGCCATTTAATCAGTATTAGTTGTTGTTCTAGGGAACTAGCTTGGTTATTCCTGTCCGTTAGGAGGGGCACCTCCAAACGAACGGATCAGTGAACCCAAAAAGAATCAGTCTATCCATTTTCCAGAAATCGAGCAAGAGAATCACATTAGTTAATCAAAAGAATGTTCTCGCGAAATCTAATACTATTATTGGTAAGTGAAGAAGAGAACAGAGAATGTTCAGAAAGGTCGCTATGAACAAATAAATATCGGTACTCTGTGCTCTGTAATCATCTCCAGTCTGGCAGCCATTACACTGTGTCTACGACCTTGCCTTTTTGATCGGCCAATTCGGGACAAACAGGTTTGCAGCGAACAGCCAATCGAAGTGGCCAGGGCGACCTTGGTAGCCATAACAACTGGCGACAGAGGTGGCAGTTTGGTTGGATACGACGAAAATGTCGTTTTCAGTGGAGCAACTTACCGCAATCCTTCAACAAAAACAACAACAACAAAAGCAAGTCAAAGAAAGCCAGACAAGACTGCTCGAGTATATCTTTCAGCGCTTTGTGGTTCAAGCAAGACCAAGCAATGAAAATCAGCAGTCATCAGCAGATATGGTCGCGAACAGCGTTTGTGAGTTTCAGTATGACACGGATGCCGGTCTAACCTTCGAAGCTTGGTTCAGAAGATACGAAGACATTTATCGGTCCGAATTCGCTGATGCTGACGAAAGATGGAAGTGCAGACTGCTTTTGCGGAAGCTGGAAACCAGGGAGCATGACAAGTTGCTCGATTTTATTTTGCCAAAATGCCTCAACGATTTTACTTTTGACCAACTTGTACCTCTGTTAGAGGACATTTTTAGTGAACAGTCTTCGTTATTCAGCGTCAGATACAGTGCGCGTCAGACGATCTGGTAGCTTACGCGAGTACCATCAATCATCATTGCGAGCATTTCAGGCTAAACGGAATGACAGACGACCAGTTCAAGGCCATAATTTTTGTTTGTGATCTCCAAGCGCCCGAGGACGCCGAAATACGCAAGAGTATGGTTAAGAAAATTGAGCAGGACCCGTCCACCAGTTCCGAAAGCCAGAAGTTAATCAACATGATGCACGACAAGAACATGATTGTCCAAGACAACGGTCCATGTCCTGTGGATGTGTTGGCAGTGTCAAATCAGCACGGGAGTCCAGCGACGGTCCAAAACTCAGTAAAGTCAAACAGATCACCATCTGCATGCTGGCAATGTGGCGAATGGCATTTCGTTAAATTCTGGCCGTTCAAGTAGCATCTTTCAGAAATGCAACAAATGGGGTCACAAGGAGGATAATTGCCGTACAACCATTTTCAACAAGAACGCTTACACCAAACCTGCCAAGACGTTTGTGCCCAAATCGTTAACAAAACAAGGATCTCAAGTTTATCTTGTATTTGTCAGCTGCGATACAGCGGCCGCAAAACGCATAAAGTTCGTAACCGGGGTTGTAAACCAAGTGCCCATACGCCTCCAAGTTGACACTGCCTCAGACAGCACGGTCATATCCGAGGAAACTGTGAAGAAAATAGGTGAGCCACGTGTTCAAAGTACGGTTCAGATTGCAACCAACGATTCAGGAGGACCGCTGGATTTGGTCCGTAAAAATTCATTGCCCTGTAATGTTTAAAGATTGTCAGTTCAAATGGGTATGCTACGGAACAAGGCATCCTGATTTGAATTTACTCCGTCGCGACTGGATTGACAATATGAAAATGCTTGATGTTCCCTTGAATGCTGTGTGCAACAAATTAAGCGATGCATCCGCAGAGTGGACGGAGTCTTTACAGAGGACATGTCCGCAGGTGTTTTAAGATGGCCTGGGATTGTGCACGAAAACCAAGGCCAGTCTATCCTTACGGCCAGACGCAAGGCCAGTCTTCCGACCGAAAAGACGGGTTTCATATGCAGTGATTTCAATTGTCAACCAAGAACTTGACACTACAGTCAACCGGAGTTAGCAAACCGACCAGTTACCCTTCATGGGCAGTAGATATTTATATTTAGCAACAGTCTAGGAATAGAGAAGAGCCATCATAAAGAGTGGGACTCAAAACAAGGAACAGAAATAGTAAAAGAGAACACAACACAACACACAAAAGTCCACCGTTTCGTCAAAGGACGAGACACTACCCGGTTGCCCAAGCCGAAGTAGGGTGTGGACTTAGGGGATACCACCCCAAGCCTTTGGCTGATTAACCTGCCCGCAAGGCAGCGGAGCGAATTCAGGGAATCGAGCCCATTAGGAGCCGGTGACTGATTACTCAGTTCATACACCTTTCGTTTGTTCCTTTGTCAAACAGGGGCCCAATGCTCCCCAGAATTACAGCATACCGTTGCTGGAATATAATGCTTCGCCAGGATGAAGCAAGGGGCAGTGTCTTTATTTAGTGGCGAGTCACGTCCGTCACGTCACAGTGTTGATAAACGGACATATGTGACATTTTATAGGGTGAACGCTTGCCAGGCGAAAACCCATCACATCCTGCAACACTGCCGCCGAACCATTTGCTGGAAGGGGAAAATTCTGAACCATCCAGTTGGCGCCACGAGGTTGTTCGGCAAACCAGCTCCCATTGTGATTGTCAAGAAAGCAAACGGAAAGATCCGCTTATGTGCAGATTTATCTACTGGCCGTACTGATCTTAGAAGACCGCAGGTACCCTTTACCTCTCTCTGAAGACCTTTTGCAGTCTGAACGGTGGCAAGTGTTTTGCCA